CAGTGGGAAGCCATTCCCCCTTGTCCTGTCACTCCAGGCCCGTGTCCAAAATCCCTCTCTGAAGGCCAACCCCCTTTTCCCTACCACAGGAGTCACTGCTGGGGTAAATACCCAACACCTGCCCAAAACCAAGAGCAGGAGCCAGTGTGCACTGAGCCTGCTGTGGGAGCGAGCATGGGACAGACAGCCCACACTGGCCACCGTGGCAACCCGGATTCGGTGGCTCCCAGCCCGGGACTCTGCAGCAGCAGAACTCAGGCGGGATTTCAGACACAGCAGCTGGGAATGAGGCACAGAGCCCCCGGGCTGGAGTGGATTTCATCACCACAGATCACATGGCCAGAACCAGATGTCACACATGACCCCAAGCAGGAATTCCCCAGTGACTCACAGCCAGGACTTCCAGAGCAGAGATGCAGCCCCACGGCAGCCAGACACCCGGCACAGATGCAAACATCCTCTGCCCTCCGCGTGCCACGAGCTGGGGCACTCTGCTCTGCCTGCATCTCTGTTTCCTTGGGATTTGGGGGAATTCAGAAGCAGCAGGGTTTGAATGGAACTGGACAGCGGGTCTGAAAGTCACTGGGGCAGGAGGGACAAGCAGATACACAACAGGTCTTAATCACACAAACCTCCTTCCAGTTAGGAAGCAGCTAAAATTATCTTGATTTTCAGCTTTCCTGCCCCAGAAGATTCCTTGCTGTCACTACAACACTTCAGGAAACCCACCTGAAGAGGCACCCACAGGCTCTGCTCCCAGTGCTGCCCCGAGCTGCAGGCAGCAGCAGGAGTGAGACCACAGGTGCCTCTTCCATGCAGAACACTGCAGGAAGGAACACAACAAGTCGTTGGAGACAATGACTTGCAGGAAGTCCTGGAGGAGGATTAAAAAAAAACCAGATGCCAAAGCAGGAAGGTGGAATCAGAGGAGAAAAGGCCTCCTCCTGCCAGGGAGAGACACAATCGGGCATCGTGTCACTGCCAAGGTGCCCATCAAGGTGCAGAGCTCTGATCACAGGCTAGGACAGCTCTCACATCCCTCAATTCCCAGTAGCCAGGCTTCTGTGTCAGCCCTTCAGCCCATGGCTGCTCCTCCAGACCTCATGGCCACTGCCCACATCCCCCTCACATCCACTCCAGCTATGAGGGGATTTCAGCCCAAGGGCTGGACACCACTGCCCTGGCCACAAGAGCACCCAGTCCCAAGAGAGGCTCAGGTCAGTGGGATGTCGCTGCCCGGACTGCCAGCTGGTGAGGAATGTCCCTAAACTGGAAAGGGTTCTACGCAACCAAACTGTGAAACTCCTAAAAAAAATGGGAGTTTATGCTGGGACAAGGGAGGGCAGAGAGCCACCAGGGCCATCACACTGACCCACAGCCAGTGCAGGGACACCAGCCAACGTCTGCAAACACCCAGAGCGTGTCCCTGGCACAGGCACTGGCTCCCAGCTCCTCCCCAGGCACTGACTGTGCTGTTGGCATGGCCAGGAGATCTGGCACACAGGGCTTTGCTGTCAGCTCTCACACAGCTCGGATCAGCACAGTCCAGGCCCATTCTGACTCCTCCCAAAAACCAGGTTCTCCAGCTGCAAGCTTGGTGAGGTGAGAGCTGCACCTGGCAAAGGTGCTCCAGATGAACTGGGCCACAACATAAAACTGCCTAAAAACAGGGGATGTATTTGTCCAAGTGTGCTACCCCAGCCATGCTTTAGCTCTGCCCATCACTCCCAGGGGACCAAGGTCTCCCCTCACACCAGTACCTGCTCCAGGACTCTCCCCAGGAAGATCCTTCTGCTTGTGCCACCCACGCCGAGCAGTGCCAGCCCTGCCGACAACTCGGCCAGGCAACAACACACATGGCAGTGCAGGACACAGGGCTTTCCTTTCCTGCAGGTAAGGCAGCTTGAGAAGCATTTCCCACTGCCCTCAGGAATCTCTCCTGAGAGTCTTTGCCCCAGGACTGCAGCACCCACAGAGAGCACGTGATCAGAACA